TCCGAAACTTTATGTATGGTAATCTAAATTTCTTTATAGCCGAAAAGGCAACACCTAACGGCAAGCTGTCGAAATCTAGCACAACCCTTAATAGTTTGTCCGTCTCGTCCACGAACATCAACGAAACTAGTCAATTGGAATACAATCGCATCACGCCTTTGCCGGCAGCCACTAGTAATGCGCCTTTTGAACAGACCTTCCGCATCACCGTACTTCTGCCGAAGGATCAGCTGTACGTTGCTCGCTTAGGCGCACGAGTGCCACTAAGTAAACTATTAGAGTTAGTATGCGAAAACAAACTACTGGATGCAACAAAATATGAATTCAGAAATCCAGGTACCAAATTCTTATTGTTATTGTACACACTTTATACAACTTTTCTTTATTATTTTAGTTGATTCGAGTCAAGTATACAGCTGCGATTTAACTATTGGTGCTGTGGGCCTTTCGGAAATTCGATTATGTAACAAATCCGAAACGTATGAAAATTTTAATGCCGATGAAATTATAAAATTACATCGAACGGCAATCATACGAGACTCTCTCTCTTCATCAGAGTTCAGTAGTCGCTACTCAAAGCACACAACGAAGACGACTAGTCCCTACAGCTCAAGCAATTCGCTTAATTCGATGGATTCAACAGGCATGAATTGTGTTCGCACTCCTGTGTCTCCACCTGCAACCCTCACAACAACAACAACTCCAACCGTAATATCGGCTCCTCCACGAAAGAAACGTGCTGCACCTCGACCACCGAGCCAAACTGCCATACCAGAGAAGACAGTGCTCGTGACCAATGGCGAAGCGACCGCAAAAGATACGAACTCCAATATTGCAAAATTAGAGGTGTTAGAAGGTTCTCTGTCGCATAAAAATCGCTTTGTATCGACGCCGAACCTCTCCACATCGCCCGAAGTGACCACTTTTGATTCCAATGGACACATAAACAGTCTTCACGTTGATAACAAACTGGAGTCTAGCTTAAATGGCTACACTGATTTGGAAATTGAAATGGAGCAATCACAGGTCAAACAGAAAAATGCACGAAATCTATGTGCTGGCAGTGTACAGAATTTAAGTAGTGCTGAAACCGTCCAACAACCTATCGAATTCCCAGAGCCATCACCGCGTAAACGCATGATACAAATTAAGAAAAAGACAACAGCGCCTGCACCACCTCACAGAGGCAGCTCATATGCTGATTCGGATACAGTTTCAATCCATTCAATTTCTTCGTCTACCCCGGGTACACCTTTAAGTCCGCTAATGCCCATATCGCCCGAACCTCTTTCGACAGACACAAATCTTGAAACACATATAGATCCCAACAGCAATAATCAGCACATGGCGAATATACAATCCCGTGATTCTGACCCCGTCACTAATGAAATACAATCAGCAACAGCAATGCATGAGACAACCCCTCCTGTACCTAAACCCCTTCCAAGGGTAACGACCAATGCGTGTCAAAACGACCAAGATACATTTATGGAAAACCACGTTTCCACTCCTACAACAACGAATGTTTCCAAAATTATATTGAATCGCACACCAACACCGGAACCACGGTCCCTCTCTGCTGAGCCACAGGATAGCGATAGTTATCTGGGTGTCCACATCAGGGCACTGAAAAATACATCCGATTTAGAACACGACGAGGAATCTAAGCAAATGGACTCGGGTAACTTTTTGAATGCACATATAGCGGCACTTAAAAATGCGTCAATTCTGGAGAATGAGGATGACGCTTTGTCGAAGCAAGCTGATTCAGGTATTGGCGAGCCCGTACCGTCTCCGATACCCGATAGCTTGCCATCAGAAAGTTCAGTAAATGATGGTAAATCGGCATTTGAGTCAAGCTCAGATGACGACGACATTATTAAAGTGTATAATTTCAAGCTAGGCAAAACCGTAGTCAAAACGCAAACAGAACCTCAAACTCTGGAAGATTTCGTCGTTTTAGCGGCTGCGGAACAGGCAGAAAGCGGAGAGAATACACCAGCACCAGCAACGCAAGAAGCAACACCTAATTTCTCGGATAGCGCGTCTTGGAACTTTTCAATTCCAATATCTCCTCCGCCTAATTTTGCTGACGGACGTTTCCCAGATGGTTTTGTAAATGAGAAGCCTCCGGATACACCAATCACCCCCAAAATTAAAGAACGACCAATGTTAGATTTTAAATCAATTTCCCAAGCAGAGAGATCCTTTATTCAAACTATTGGCAATTCAAATCAGAAATCAACGAACACACATGACATGGAGTTCAAAAAAGAGAGCTTAGCTTTGCCAAGCCCAACAACCCCTTTAAATGAAATTGTGGAGGAACTTTCTGAAATAATTCATAAAAAGCGTTTGGACACCCTAATTAAAAAGCCAGAAGATGAACCAAAGATACAGTCTGCTAAGCCAACTACATTATCCAACTTCAGTATCACAACAATCACACAACAGATTCAAGAAAAAGAAAATGAAATCGCAAATGAAGTTTCTGCACTAAAACTAGAAAATAGTGAGCCGAATTCCAACTTTGAGCAAGGAACCAATCAAGACCAAATCCTTTCAGAGAAGCTCACTTGCATCGCTGGACCACAAAATATTGCAAAGTTAGATAGCTCATCAACAAAAGGTACGTATGAAAAAGTGGATCAAAACGGATTTAGCTCCAGTCGTAGACGATCATCCGGTGAACTTAGTATTGGTGAATCGCCATCCCTCCAAAGTCCTGAAGTTATCAAAACGATTCTAAATTCACGGAAAAATAGCTCGGCTAGTAGTAGTGATGCAGAAACCAAAGTAGCTGAGGAACTTAAAAAGCAAGACGAAAAAGTTGTAGCGGAGGCACCAAAGAATATAGTTAATGCACAAAACAAAGTAGACACGTATATAACAACATCACAGCCTTGTGCCACTTTTAATTTCGAGAGCACCGAGTCAAAAGAAGTACAGGAAACGAATTTTGTCAAAATAGCGGAGACACCAAAAAATAAAGTTAATGCACAAAGGGAAGAAGAAACTAGAGTTTCATCAGCAGAACACACCAAACACAAAGAGGTGCCTAAAGTATATCGATATTCCGGACCGCCAAGCATTAATTTTTCTACTTGGAGCGAACGTCCTAAAGTACAAGTATCCATAAAAAATGAAGGTGACTACATTTTCGGCGGCAAGAATGCCGACAGTCAAAGCGCGGCCGTTACAACAGCTGCAATCGAGATTAACACGCGATCTCACATTCGAAATAATAGAGTTTCAATGCCAGCGGCTGCCTTTTGGGCGGAAAGAGAGAATGCACCGCCGCCTGTCGCTCCTAAACCCATAACACCCACAGAACGTATGGGCATCCCCGAGAAAGAGTATCATATACCGATGAGTGTTAAACCATTACGCGATGTGACAATTGAAAACGTCGATTTCAATACAACAACAACAAATAACACCACTCAGCAGAGGCCATCGACTAAGGGCCAATGGAAATCGACAAGCACTACAACTGTTCTGCTAAACGGAAATTCGGAATTGGAAAATAATAAAAGTGAAATAGTCACCAAACCATCATTTACATCGACTTTGCCCCGCAGCAACGCCAGTCGATTTAGTATACCGGCAGTAAATAACGTGGGTCCAGGGTTGCTCCGTTCGACCTCCATCACCCAATTGGAGGCTAATAAGCCCCACCTCATTCAGTCTGAAGCTGCAGCAGCTCCATTTGGTCAAAACACGCTGCGAAAAACTGGGTTGAAAGAGAAAATACTCGCAAACGATATTTTACCAAAAGAAAAGGCAGAAACCGAAAGAAAAATGCCGGAGCAAACTGCCAAGTCTCAAAGGTCAAGCCTCAATTGTTCTTCTACGATTCACAATGGTTTCGTAGGTATGACAAAAGTAACAACAACGTCGGAAACAAAAAAAATCCACCAAAAACCGGTGCAAAGTGCCAAATTAGAACTTAAACTTCAGAGCTCTACCGGCATCTATTTAAACAGAACGAGCTTAAATCCAGCAACTACCATCACAACGACAACAAAGACTCAGTCAGACGTAAAATCTACGTCCTCAGTACCACCACCACCCCCAACGCCTCCTAAAGGTGTAACACCCAATAGTAGTCCTGCAACTGAGTCCAGCAGTACAGATCCCAGAGATCAACTATTAATGGCAATACGCAGCTTTAAGCGTGATGATCTAAATCGTATTTGAAGTAGCACGAAGGAGAAATCTTATATTAATAACAACACATGTTGGACACAATAGTCACAAAGAGCTGGACTGAAATCATGTAAAATATTATTGTAAATGTGTTTTTATAAATAATGTATTTTATAAGGACTATAGGAAACGATTTAAGCCGAAGTCAACTAATTTTATTAGCCTAGTTTAAGATATAGGGAAAGCCAGGCGCTCGTCTAAACAACCACAACCACAACTTAGCAGTAGTTGTGTCAAATGGTGGAAGGCCAATGGCTACCCAAAAACAATATGAAAGAATTAAAGCAATTACATTATATATATGCACAAATAATTATAGGATAAAACACATATAAATATACAAATATGAAATGTAATATTTACTGGAATGATAAAAACTAATCACCTACTGTATATTAGCAAAGTCCCTTGTGACTGAGCAAAAACGCTAACCAAATGTTTTTCATCAGTCTGTCTACCGAAGAAATGCCAGTTTTGATGGTTTTCGTTTAGTTAACTGGCCTACCACATGTCCCATACGTTCGTAAATATTCTGTAAATTATAATCTATATTCTAATTAACGTATGAATGGACATTTATATCTGCGTTTTATTTATATTTTACTTGTTTTACCCATATGTATAAAAATGGAATATTACAATGTTGATAATAAACTCCCCAAAAATACAAATGCGGAAGTCTTTATTTTTAACCCCTTTATCACATGGTAAAAACGTTGTTTGAAATTATGTATTGCTCTTGGAACTAAGCATTTGTGAATTATGTAGGTTAAAGGTAAGTATAAACTTACCGTTTTTCGTTTCCTTCGCTGTTTTTGTAGTTAATATATGTATAATTTTTCTGAATGCTAAATGTTTAATGTATAATAGTTGATTGTTGATATATAGATGATAGATATGTATATATAGATGAAAATCTAATATCTAAATCTGTATCTAAGGCAATAATGTAAGGCTATTTTAGCTACGGTGCAACCGAAGTTAACGTTTTTTCTTGTTTTGCGAAATATTTGCACAATTATCCAGAATCCAATTTCTTTGTTTGAAAAATCGTTGATTAAATTATTCTTGTTCTTAATCCTTAAAATTACGAAAAATTTAAATTAATCTTTACAAATACCCTTCTATATTTGCATGCAAATTGTTTTTAGCTATTTGCAATTATTTACCTTTTAATTTCACATAACTTTATTTCATTTCAATTCTTAATGCAGCTTTTCATTCCGTTAATTTATTTTTATTCAAATTTTACTAACAAACAATTGAAGACAGCTTAAAATGGTTGATTGAGGCCAATTGTTGATTTGGTAAATAAACCAGTATCTCCCATATCTTCATTGTAACCTGGACGATATTTCATGCCGGGTGCCTGTAATACAAAAAATTTGTCAATAATTGAAGGGGACATCAAATAGAAGAAATCTTACGTTGAACCACACATCACGCCAAATTTTGCTGCTGTCCGCATCGCGTAACAGTTCTGGTACGTCATAACGTGGCACATTAAAGTAGTTCATCAAAGTGCTTTTTTCGTTACAGTACTTGATACGGGCTTCACACCACTCAGCTTCGAGTGGGAAACGCCAATCCTTCATTTTTTTATTGTGGTAATCAACTTCGAACTGTCCGAAATCAATTCGTTCAATATCTTCAACCACAACTTCGGTCTCACCACCAGCAGTCCAATCGTAAACCAGGATTTCAGCATGGCTACTTATATCCTTAAGGAAATGTTGTTTATAAAACGTTTCAATGTCCTTTAGGTAGGTATCAGTGAAAACCTTCGAATTAACTTCGTAATCAGTATTACGAGCTTTAATGCGTTGCTGTAAATTATCAAATGGGATAAATTAAATGGTTTTTACCGATTATCAAACTTTATTTACCTTAACAGCTTCGACAGGGCAGTCCAAGTAGATAACCAAATGCGGTTTTAGAAGCTCGTCAATTGTATTTTGGCGAATTTCATAATATACCGAGTGGGCACCACGCGAAATATAACCGTTCTTATGCATTGCTTCCAAGAACACAAAGTCCGAATAGCAGCTTCGATCCAAAACTACACCTTGCCCCGTAGAAAGCACATGTTGTAATGCATCTATATATTGTGAATATCTCAACATATACATGCGAATTTGGAACTGTGCAGCCAACGGATGATTGGGTTCACGGCAAAAGTTAGACACATCATAAGAACGACAGAGTTCAGGTAATTGAGGGTCTAACTTGCGCATATCATAACCATAGGAATTGATATAAATCAAATCCATGTTCACTGCCGGAAAATAACACATTTCCAACTCATCTGCCAATTGTTTGGCAAACTTGCTTTTGCCTGCACCGATCGGTCCTTCAACACATATGACTTTAGAGTTCTCATCCATACGTTTTGATGTTTTGTCAAAAAACGAGTTCAGCACAGTGTATCGTTTTTCTTTATATGGGTATGGGGGTTCTTTTGGTATCCGTGGACCACCACGCATAGCTTTACCCATGATAGAAGCTTTTTGCGTTAAGGCCATTGGAGAAGCTGACTGCGTATTCAGCAATGCAGGGCTACCATTACGGCCACATAGGCGCACAATGCCCACACGGAAAACAGAGGCCATTCTGAAAATAATTAACTTTTAAATATCAGTTGAATATATATACAATGGCAAGTACACTATATATTTTGAACAATACGACTATTGGAATTAACTCATTACATCACAGCTCTGCACCGAAAACGTACGAAACCGATACATTAAAATAGTATTTAAAACGAGTTCAATATTGACCCGCAGTATATGCAAATACAATATTTAAACTTTTATGTTTATAAAAGTGTAATTAAAACGATTATGCATGTTTTTCTCACCTTAAAACTGTTTAATACAATTTGACTATTTATTTTCTACCCTAAAAATTGGAGGGCCATATGAGAGCTCTTGTCAACTGAACTGTCACTGAAATAGATTGGCAGCACTGGTTGCTTACAGAGTGATGAAAAATGGAATATGTTAGAATATAAGTATATAATGAGATCAGAGAATGTAAAATTTTCTGATGAGATATTGTTTTAAGACGGTTATAATAAATTTTTTCATTCCTTCATATTTATTTATTTACCTGTAATGGCAGTAATTGACATATTGATGATGATGTGATGTTAGTAACACCAACACTTTTAATACCACTGAACCAATTTGGTGAATTTAATGTGCAAGGCGGGATCGTTATTATTTTTAGTGCGCAGACGCGGAAATGAAATTTCCCAAATCCTGTGCATATTTAGGGCGGAAACTCTTTTATGATATACCAGAAATATTTGGCATTACAACGTATTGAACGGTTTTTAAAAGCGGTCACATTTCTACGCTGCCCTAAAATATTCATAAATATTTGATATTTCCAATTTATTTGAACAAAAAATAATATAAATGCTCAAAAAATTGCAACATAACTTGAAAATTTAATAAGGTGTGTTAAGATAGTATTACTGTATAAAAATAAAATATATCGAGTGCGTCAGACTATTGTAAGTGCAGTGAAGCACTGAAGTGCTTGTATTTAATGATTTTAATATGGCTTGGGATTTCTCAGCAAAATATTGAAAAGTTCAGAATTTAAGTAATATTTTATTACGTTTGCATTGTATGTATTTATGTGGAATAAAACCATGAATTCGAAAGTAAATTCTATATATATATACATATATGTACGTCAATTAGAAATCGTCAGCAGAGCACATACATATGTATGAAAACAACAACAACGGCATTCGAACCAGTAGCATAGAGCAAATACAGCTTCCTTATTTCCTCCACAAGCACCTCGTACTCCGCTTTCCAGGGTCAGCAAAATAGCTAAATTCTTGTCGTCAGCAAAGAACAGCAGCTTCTTACCCTGCCCATCAAACGTTATAATTACCCTACCCAATGGTGTAATGAAATTCACAGTCCGCGTTACAATTTGAGTACCAGTGGTAGCTATGCACTTGATGCTAAATTTCAATGCACCGCCTCAAATACCAATGCAAGAAAACCAAAAATTTCCCTTTTGGTGAAAAATACCAAAGTACGAGTATTGACTCTGCATGCCGGCTAAATACATAATAGCTGTCGTGTCTGTTGACATTTTATAGAACGACTGGTTCAGTGCTACGTTGAATCACATTTTCAAACATAAACAAACAGAAATTTTGCTGTGGGGATGGGTGGGACATGCGCAGCGCCTCTTTCAACATATCTTGCACTGAGTATCTCGGACTCTCTGTTTTCCTCTTGCAATATTTGCACTGCCCTTTAGACACTATTATGTATGCTGAGCGAAAAAAAGCAAAAAGGTTGAAATATAAAATTCAAAAGGTCTTCGCTACAGCGTATGCGTTGCGAAAATATTTGTTCAGAGTCTAATCAACAGCCTGGTCGTACCATATTAGAACCCTAAGGTTTACTTGCTTTCATAAATACACAAACATGCACAGATACCTTTTTGAACATTGCTATACGTACTTGTTCAATGCTAATGCCAACACTTAATACTTTCCGGTCCGCGCTGCAGTCGTCGCCCAACCAACACATTTCAATTGTCACACGATGCTGATACGTTGGAAGAGCAAAGATAAAAGTTCATCGAACCAGAGCAGCAGCAACAGCAGCAGTAGCTCATCAAAGAAAAAACGAAAAGGACGTGAAGCAGGTGGGTATGGGGGTAAATGTGAATATTTAAATAGTTCATGAAGTTAAATGCACACACGTCATTATAAGTATTTACACATTTATATATGCACATATTTATATGAATACGAGTTGTTGGGGTGTAGGCGTTAACACCGATTGCTCACTTCCGTGTCACAATCTATGCTAAGGTGTCCTTTGAAATCAATAACTACGACATAAAAAATTCAACATTTGTTTACTCATTAGCTCAAACTCACCGATGAGCGTTAATTAAAATCAAAAGATAGCTCCAATATAAATGTATATTCGCGTGGACAGCGGAGACTGTGATTTGTATTATACATTTTCAGCGACAAACAATATAATTTTGACCAAACCAATCTAATTGTCGAATACCTCAATTAGGATATTTTACAAACCTCAAATTTTCCTTAAAATTCGGCTTAGGCTTGAAAATTATATACAAGTATGGGATATTTTAATGAAGGGACAACTTTTTTTTCTTCCACTGCATTCATATTTACCCCTTGTTTCCAATAGAAGACTGGCAGAATGACGCCAAAACTGGGCGTATGCCAACTAATGAGCAAGGTGAGTTTTACCAAAATTTCGCATCGAATAAATATCAAGAATACTAGCATACATCCATTGTTTATTAATACAGTCAGCGATCATAGGAGAGGTATGCGACGAGACGATCCGCGGCGGCACACACTTGGCGGCGATATGATATTGTATGCTGGTAATCAAGGACAGCAGCAGCAGCGGGCCATGGATCTAGAGGTGATATGAAAAAATCAATAAATATAAGCACACAACTAAAACAATCTAAACACATTCTTTTTTTTTTTCAAATACATACAGATGAGTACGCGCGCACAGAAAAACAAAAAGGTATTTTCAAAAGATTGTATATTAATATTTTATAATGCAATTTGGTGTACAAAATGTAAGACAACTTCTTCATTACGTTTTGTAATCTTATTTAAGAATAATGTACCACGCGGCTATACTCCCTTGAATCAAGGACCTTTGTTCGACGATGACCCAGGCATTATGTCCGAGGTAGAAACGGCAAGCACTGGCTTTCGGCGTGGCAATAAACAACGGTCTTCGCTTCCAGTCGTTAGAACACCTTCGAAGACGTTGGAGCGCCCTTTAGGTGAATTTAAAACAGACATTTTTTTATGCAAATATTTTCCCTGACAATTACTAAGCTCTTTTTTAATTTTATATGCAGGATTAGTATTTTTACAGTATCGTTCGGAAACAAAACGCGCTTTATTGCCTAACGAAATAACCTCAATTGATACGGTTCGAGCGCTTTTCGTTCGTTCCTTTCCACGACAACTAACCATGGCATATCTGGAAGGTCCAAACGTTAAGATCTACATACATGATGCAAGCAAAGACATGTTTTATGAACTAGAGGATGTTCGTTCACATTTACGAGAAATTCGTGACCGGTCAGTATTGAGGCTTTTTGAGTCCACTGAAGTTGCTGCACCGCCACAAATTCTACCAGGTGGCCCTGGCGTACCTCAGCCACTCCCACAAGTTACGCCTAATCATTGGGACCAAGACCAGGTAATTAATCTGACTCAATCAAATATGTGTTAATATTATTAAACGTGCCTTTAATTTTTACTTCCCCAGAGCTATTTCAGCGAACCAGAATTTGATTCAGACTACAAACATCAACACATTCATAAATCAAAGGTGAGATTTTTATTAGCATAAAATACAATAAAATAATTTTAAATAGGCATAGGTATATAACATACATATGTACATAAAATACAATACAAAAGAATATTATCTACAAATTAATCTAGTTAATGCAAGCACCACCAATAACGCCGACTGCGCAATCAGTCGAAGCCCGCAATTAAATGCGTTTTAAAATGCGTCAACATACGAAACAGCTGCAATCTCCCCAAGCGCTCATAAACCTGCTGACTAGTGCGGTCTCTCCTGCCCAAGCCATGGTAATCAGAAATTACCACATCCACCAACACTTAATCCTTTCAGCGTGTTATCCATTTGCTCCTTGGCATTTTTCCATGCAAATACGATAGCACCTTGGAATGGCTCCGTGTCACAGGCACTACACAACGCCATTACCGCCTTCACTTCTTCCTCAGCTGGTTCGCGATCGTGTTCCTGAATCTCATCTTCGATGTTCATTTTCTGTGTTAAATCCTGTTTGAACTGTTGCCCACCAAAATCCGCCAAACCATCATACTTGAAACTATTACCGAATAACGGGTCATCCACAACACTTCCGTCCTCCAGCAATACCAAACCCCGTTTTTGTAAATTTTTACTTGTTTTATCCAACGTTTGTCTCCGCCTTGGATTCGCAGCTCGTTTACGAACCACTTTTTGACCAAATAACGAATTGGTATTGTTGGTTTTCGCGTGGCGCTTGAACAGAATTCGTGTCTCGGTTTCGTCTATAAACTGCACATTGGCTGGGTTATTTAGCGTACTGTATTCGCGTGTCGTTGAGCTAGTTTGCACAGTCTTTGGTCGCAATGCCAACGCCGCATTTGGCTGTACGATATGTCCCAGTAACTGTTGCGACACCAATCGCGAGCCGGTATTGATTTGGCCGTTCACAAAGTTCGTATTGATGGTGACGGCTTGTTGTTGATCAGACAGTGGGAATAAAGTGTTATCGCCGCTCTGTAACTGTGGCACTGTCTGCGTTGGTATGGTAGGTTGCGGCTGCTGCGGTGGTTGCGCGAGATTGAGACGCACTCGAGTTGGTATTTGCCCACTTGCAAGCAGACTGTGCATTGGTAATGGCCGGTTTATCTAGCAATTTAAAGGAAGAAAAGATCCAATTTGCTAACTCAACTGTATAATCGTGTGAAGATATTCAACTCACAGCAGGGGGTGCCCTTGTAGTGGTTGACAATTCCTGTCCCTCATGATCGAAGTGGTGAACATGATGATGCTTGTGATCGCGGTGTGCCTTACCCGCACTCAGCGCAATATGATATATCTGTACCAAAGTGATCTCAAAGTGTAGGCCCTGGGATAAAATACCCGTTGGTGACAGTCCGCCCGAAAAGAGTTTGCCCTTAGCGGGAATGGTATGACTAACCAACTACAATAAAGGAATTGCAGTTAATAATACGTATGTGTACGTTTAAAATTGCGATTCGCAGATATAGGCTGGTGACGGGCTCATTGAGGACGAACAGTAAAACATCAATAAAAACAAATATAAAAATTAGTAACGATCCCTCACTCATATCAATACTTAAACTCAATTTTAAGATCGGATAATATAAATAATTTCAAAGCCAAGGTAAAAATGCAGCCACAAACACCGAGTAGACTTCGCTTCGGCACACTCACCGCGTTGTTAAAACCACGTCCAATACGCTCCGACTTCACCCAAACCTGCCATTCACCTGTTTTCCCGTTCCACGACGAGCACTGATGATGCCATTGACGCACACGTAATGGATAATTGAGCCTGTAATTAAGCGTGGAGCAATCACAGTTGCAAAACGAAGCGAAACAATCAATAAAAATGCATTACTTCGCGAGTATGATATAAATATATACCCTCAATATAAGCATTACACCTTTTACGGGCTTACCTATATATTTGTTGACCTTTTATGGCCATCGAAACAAAACTGGAATTTTGTGAGTTCGAAACCCAAAACTGAAACTCGCGCGGTTCATCCTTAACTGGTATTTGTGGATTAGAGTGGGTCAGTTGGCCAGCGGTGTCAGCGGAAATTGGACAATACGAAAAACATTTAGAAATATGAAATGAAAAAGGAAAATGTGAGCACTGGAATATATTGCAATTGTAGTCTATTGAAAATTGCCAGCAAGACAGAGTTACATATGAATATTTTTTCAAACATGTTGACTCAATGAATTGGAAAATAAACGGGCCAATGTAGTAGTCAACTGACCTACTGTTACCCAAGAATGGTGGGATTTTTCCCCACATAACAATCGTGAGCTTTAAGTTGCAACTGCTTTAAGGTTTGAGTTATGTGTTGCAGCGTGTGTTTTCCCGATGCAGTTAATGCAATGACCGATGTAGGCACGTGCAGTGTAAATATCAATTGCACTTCCGGTGATGTTCATCAGCGTTGTTTACTATGTATATGGGATATCAGTCATAAATAATTTGCAAACCAAAACTCAAACTTAAACTCGTTTGAGGAATTCCCACAAACGACGTCAGCAACGCACGCACAACAATTGCAACGCATTATAATAGGATTCATTGCCACACCACAAGAGTTCATCAGCTCTAAGAGGCAGTTGCAAATAAACCGGAAAAAGATGTTGTGATGCTTAACACATCTATACGAATGTACGCATACGTTGCAATCAACACTTGGTTGTTGAGTTGCAGATTTATTACGACTTTGGACGCACTAACGACTACACGCCACACAACAACGCACAGGTCGCTGCCAATCTTTTGCAATTAGCACGTATTTAGCATTGCATTACAGTTACTAAATCCTCACTTTTTGCAATAGGTAATTTCACTTTTATTAGCGCACTAGCGCTATTATAATATAAAATCCATTTAATTCAGTTACTTTTTTTATGACTGGTCACCGAGTGGCAATAAATTGTGCCATATGCTAAAACCTGTAACTTCAATTATGCAACTTTGGCACAGACTGGTGATGTGTGGTATGTAAACCTAGTTTTGCTGCAGCGAAAGCCAGACGGCATCAATTTTGTACGAGTGACGTGCGTTGTTTGTTGAGTTGCAGCATCGCAGCAGCGAGCTTACTTACATATATATTGGAATCACCGTAGGCGCGTAGCTCGTTTACGGCACCATGGCTTTGGTAGTATGGTGTGGCCGCAACGTGTACTTTATTGTGTTGTGTCGTAAACTACCGAAGACAGCAGGAAGCTGACTTCCTTTCACTTTTTATACATCTGTTATTATGAGGTTATATAACTTTCTTCTATTCAGCGAATTCAAGAGATATTCGTGGTGATGTAACAGTTCAAATGACACCGTTTCCTCCATACAAACTTTGCATGCTGAATTAATGCCACGATTGTACTATACCTATTATCCGCACCACTTAAAGTGTAAATATGTATAATGACGCATGAATGCACGCACTGAGTTTAGGTTGAGTGGTCGCCGCGTACATTCAGTTGCAAACCTGTATCCACAATGAAATGGTGTCATGCCACACCCAACAAGCTCTCCAACTAATAAATTTGTAATTGTACCACAATTAACATTTAGAAAGATCCAAATTTATAATAGGAAATTAAACCATTTGACCAAAACCGATCAATTCGAATTTTGCTTATCATTGCTGTGCAATTAACCCAATTAAGAATTTGCCCTAGGCTAGTGATCTTTCATTTACCACTTACCCGAATAGGTTAATAATACGTGATCGCCGCTATGATTTGTATATCGTGACCAAAAACAAATCGTGAATTGATTCAAGTCTGGTAAATCATTTTCGTATGCAACGGTACCATCGTGATTAAAGGCGAACTTTTTTACAGCGCAGTGATCCTATTTTCATCAATAACAAGAGAAAACACAAACACCATTGATATATTAAAATTGTAAAAAAAATCCAACTGTAACATGCGTTGCACGGTTCTTATTACCTCTCCAAAGTCCCCACCACCGAATAAATCGCGTTCATATTCAAATTCGTCGGTTTCAAACTTCAATCCAGTATGTGATCCAGGCAGTCCTGTCAAAGGTGCTGATATTGCGATGGCATCGCTAACACCACTTAACACCTTGCTCGCGGACTTCTGTGGAAGTAAGGGCGACGACGAATACTCAGAACTTTCAACAGAACTACTGCCAAGAGTTAATGTTTTTGCGCTTGTTGCTGAACCGGGATGGGATTGCTGTAGATTGAAGGAGGTTGTAATAGAACCACCCACTATAGGTTTCCAACCATAGCTTAAATGAATGTTATATATTACTCCTGTCGCAAGGACAAAGAAATGTATCCAACTCCAATGCATTTTAATACGAACTTCAAAGTAAAATTTCCCACATAAATAAGTATTAGTATATATAGAAAAAAGCTTTCGACCTCTTCCTTATCTTCCCGTTTTTTTGTTCCCTATTTTACTTTCCTAACCACTTTCGTCGCAATTCACTTTCGTTTTTATATTGAAATTTCGCGCATTCGCCTGGGTTTCTATTCACTTTTATTTATATATCTCTTCGAGTTGACTACGCGTAGACACACGTCTGCACGCGACGATGTCTCGAACTTTATTGGCAGTCAACTGTGGCGGTGGCATATATGGAAGCGACTCTAGCTGGGCTATGCGACTGGGAGATGGAACGCTCGCGACGTCAACAAACTAGTTTGTAAGCACAACAAGCACGTTGCTCGCGCCTCTTCCTATCCCCCTGGTGTTCGAAGCTTTTGAATGGCTCAAACCACTAATCTGCAGCACAATCACCGCTAGTAATTTTCATTCATTCATCAAGCTTCGAATATCAAACGCATTACAGACATCAGCGCCATTGTTGAACACTCTAGACTTTGTTAGTAGCTCTACTAGATAATTGCCAACGTACAGCGATGTAGATGGCACCTGTCTATCGAATGATTGTTTACATTTTTTATGCACACCTAACTAGAAAAAAAGGAATTTACACATGCAGTGGCTTATGCCGATGATAGGGCAATGCAGGCAATCATCTCAGACTAAAAAAAAAAAGACGGAAATTAGTTTGGAATGCTTTTAAGTGGACAACTCAAGACAATTTAGCAAAAAAAAGCATCTTGGTAGCACTCTGACACTATTTCAACTAGTCTTGTTAAACCACATGCATTCGCATACATATATACATATATACATATAGTAAGTATACATACATACACAGCAATTTTAACAAATCCATTGACAGCTGTCTGGAAAACACCGTTTGAAAGTGAAATTTCAATAGAAATACAAAAGCGTAATCTGCAACTGCCGATTGCCAATCGATTGTTGATTTACTCGGTTTGCGCGCCAAAAATCATGTACGTGATCGATAGTTTGAAAACTTTGCCTTGCAAAACTTGTCAGAAGAGAAAACACATTCTGATACAATCATACAGTAAAAATACTAAAGATTTCTGCTTGGCCGCTACCGCACAGTATTCTTAAGCATATTCACAACTGCCAGCGCCAGCGATAGAGGTTCGATTTGAATATAAGTGTAATGACTCTTAGTCAACGAGAATGATGACGATTTCAAATATTTTTCCTACATACAAATTTTCGTTAGTATTTTAGTTGTTAATCACACTTATGACAGCACATTAGCATAATTAAGTTTCAGTTTGAACCATAATGATATTCGATTGCAGATTGGTAAACAGGCGGCACCGTACTATGTGGGCACCTCGCAGACGTTACCGCGCGGCATGTACTCATCTGATCGCACAAAAGTTCCCATTGGTAAGTTAAATGTCTTAAATAAAATTTAGCCTTATACTCAATTATTTCTTAAAGAGGTAAAACCAAATATGATAAGCATGAAAATAAATAAAATGTAAATATTTGTGCTCTATTTTTTCAATACAATCGTCATTTTTAATTTACTTTAGAAAATTCTATGTGTGTTCTATGTTTGCGATTACCGAGCTTTTAAATTCTTAATTTCATCTCACATCCATTAATTAGACCTCGCCCATACATTTGTATATATGTATTCGTATGTTGTTCTCTTCATTATCAACTCTTCACGCCTACTAATGACTACCGCTACCTCCCCTCAAACTCCATAACTGTACTATACTCTGTCCATGCATACATATGTAGGAGCGCCAGTGAAACCCTTGCGGGCGCACAACTCAAGAGGTAGCATGGAGCCATTATTTCCTTATACCCCGGATCAGTTATATAGCATCCCAGGTACATACTTTGCATTCATTGACATTCATTATTTCATTTATAATTTTGTTTCAAAGAAAATGTGGTACATTATTGAGAATGGAACCAATTTGGTACACCAACGACGAGGCATTAAATTTGCTTTCAATTTGTAAGAATTAGATATTTTGTATATACTGTGTAATTAACAAAATTTAGTGTTTGTCTTATACTAAATTATGAATATAAATTAATTTTTGATTATGTACTAACATGTTTCCCTCTTTGAGTAAATCGTGTGGCATTAGTAAGTCTTGAAATTGGCATTAGCTCAACATAAGTTTTTGCTAAAAATTTCAGATGGTTACTCAAGTTCACCTGAACGCAGCACACGAGGCAACTACGAAGAACCATATTACAGTCAATACGGAACCAGAGGACCAGTGGTTGCGCCAATCATTGACGAAGAGCAGGGGTTGGTGCAAATAAAATAGAAAATATAAACAATTTGTCATTTCATATCACCTTTTATATTCACTACAGTGATGTGGGTCTTACTGAAGATCAATACGCCGTATATGGAATGAAAGTTGGACCCGGGCGACTACCAAGACCGAATCAAATGTACGATTCAGCTAGGTGAGTAGTTTGATGCAGCCATATATCAAATAATATATCAAATGCTTAATACATATAAAAATGCAATAAAAAATAGAATATGTGTGCCTAATAATAAGCTATGTATGCATGCACTTCATTCGGCGTAGACTGTACTCTTCGGCGACTACGTCGATAAATTTTTATTCTCTTAACTCCACCATTTGTGTTAGTCATTGTAGTAGTTGCAGCAGGGTGAAAGTAGGTTTTGCCTGTGTTTAATGGTAAAATGTTTTATTCTCAAAATTAACTAACATACAGCTTCCTACCTTTGCTCCTTATAGCTTGCACAATAAGGCAAAGCAGATATCCGCCGAAGGATAGAAAAGCCAACGCCGTAATGGTGATATGGAATAAAGTTTGCAATTTAGAAGGCTTTTCCTCTGGTTGCCAAGGATGATGTTCGTAGCCACTTTAAATTAAAAAAAAGAATGGTTTTATACCGAGTGCTTTTTTTTAGACATTAAAGGTTAGTTCAGCCCCTTTAATAGCACAATTTGCTACTTTTATCTACTCGTATTAGTGCAGACAATTTGTTGACTATATTAAGGGGCTGCCTGAAACACCTTTAAAACACATTCAGTTTTAATTCTAACCGTTTCTCTGCAGTTAGCGGTAAGGCTTGTGGACTCACACAAGAACTAGTTTTATTATTTTCTTTAGACGAATCACAAACACCCGAATCGTTCTTTGTTTTGTTAAATGCATCGTTTACGTTGGATTCAAAACCTTTCTTCTCATGAAGTTCAGGTAGTCTTTCCAATGAACGCTGAAGTCGCAACAATTCTGACATGTTCAGTTCCATAAGACAGTCAGTCAACATTTCCTTTTCTAGATAATCAGGCGAATTTTCCATAGTATAGGACGGGCGTATTATCAAAGTTTGCAGAAAACATATGAGTAAGAAGACTTTTTTGCGCAAAGAAAACATTTTGCTCCACCTAAACCACCAAGAAACTATCTGAGACTGAATATACACATCTATTTACTATTCACGAATGGCGCAATAATTGGGAAAAGCGTTCAACTCTGTTACGGTCCAAAAACGAAATTTTTAAAACCATTAAAGTAAACGACACATTGAAGAAATGCCTGAAGCAACATTTAAGGAAGCATGCGCAAGTTAGTTGACACCAATTAAAAATGAAGTTCACAACACCAACACTGGGCTAAACAGACTGGAAAATTGTAGCACAGAATAAAAGCGTTACTAATTAAAAAAAAAAAAAACGGCGCACTGGCTTACAAATGCATACGCCGATAGTTCTTCCACATATACTTCATGATTTAGTTGTTTCCAATTTTACTGAATATGTATATCAATATGTAGAATACATATGCATTAAAAGATCTTTTGGAAGTATATAGTATATGAATAGGATGGATTATCCTGTCACACTATAATTATTTACGTTCTATAACTAGGCCTGAGGACTTGCATCGTATACGGGTAGAACACATGGAACGCCAATTGGCCAATTTAACAGGTCTAGTACAGAAAGCACTCGTAAATCAACAGCCCCAAATTACACCGATTCCCGTGCCAACCTTGGATCAAAACTATTTGGTTGTACCAACGCAGTGCCAAGGTATGTATGCTATTTATCGCACATCTTTAATTATCTGTCTGTTTGCATTTGTGCTGCTTACACAGACGAAATATCAATGCAAGACACATTGTACTTCGTTAACCCAATTGTCGAACGTTACAAGCGCACGCACTTGCAACTATCAATAATCCATTAACATATACACCATCACTATTACTATCACCCTAGCTCACCGCCATCATCATCTCCACTAACATCAGTTTCACTTTATCGCATTGTTGTCTTTTTGCAAGTAAAAAATCAATACCCACAAAAATTACTTAGCCAATCGTGCGATCTATTGTTGTGCAAATATATTGTTGAATTTCGTTGAAAAAAGTCATTTAATTAAAATGTTCATTTTATGTATGTGCGAAAGTTTTTTTATACAAAAAAAGATGTATACATATTGCGCGCGTAGTAAAAGGTAAACAATCACAATATTAAATGTACAAACACATAGCTATGTACACAAAGATGTATTTTTGTTAAAAATTGACTTAAAAATAAATATGGACATCATTTTTAACACAAATGACAGTGTATAGCTTTTAACAATACACAAAATTGATTACTTAACGGCAGATCTATTATTTCGAATGGGCATGAGAGTGGCTATGTAGCAATAATAGCAGGTATTATGGACTGTGGACTTTATAGTTGAATATTTTGCATAGTTTATCTGCGATGGGAAAGGTACGGCCTTTAGGATAAAAAAAATATGACCTTATCATTTCAAAAACCGCACAACATTTGAAAATACACATACACATAATTGGATACGTTACTCATTTTCATTCGAGGACACAAAATGCAATTAATAACTATGCGCCCACACATAATAATATATCGTTAAATTATCACAATTAATATTGAACGGCTTATATTTTTTACAACCATTTCATGTAGCTAACGGGTCGGGAAATGATTTGTATATAAGGGAAAAGGCACCGAAGTTAGGGAAGAGCTCATGCCGTAAGTTTCACAGCAATGGATATCAATCAAAGAGAAATTTATTAACCTGCATGCTTAATCTTCCAAATAACTTACATAACTTGGTTTAATCTAAATATCGAAAATTAAGAGTATTTGTACAGTGTTGTCAAGCAGTGGTAGTTTCAACATAATCAACAATATTCATTCATATAAAATACATATGGTATTTACACTCATACATATGTATGTTGTATTACTTTTTATATATGTATTAAAATTTCCGGTGCAACTAGCTCGAACTTTAAATTCATTAAGTCAGACGAATTAATTGAATTTTAACGACTTTGTAAAGCGGTCATTATAAAAAAGTAATTCAAACTGAAGTATTTAATTGTTCATGGTACAAGTGCTCCTAATATCAAAGCGTATTTTTAACTTTTTAAATGCATGTGCAATAAATTAATTCAAATAATCAATTAGACGCCTTTTAGTATTTAACGTTTTATATAAAAAAATAAATCTTGTGCTTAAGAAGTTACCACGCTTTGGGGTTTTTCTAATGCATTCATTTGTTTTTCAGAGAAATCAGTGTCGTTTGAAAAGTCAGTTTCCTTTAGTGACGACATACAAGGAATACCCAAATCTCATAGTCCTCAACACGCTGGTAATTAACTCTCTTCTCTGAATAACTTGCTGTTTCTTGTTGTGTATTTAAATTCATTATATTCATTTTATAGTTAAATACCTGCATGTACAGTTACCCGATTGTGTAATCGACATTCACCTTTGAAAGCATGTAAATCTTCAAATTACTTACATATATACTCGTATAATATTAGGTATAAAATTTTGCTTATATACCACAAGCAATATGCAACCCAAGTTACTCCAATTTTCGATAACCAAGCATATACACATATTTATGCTTATAATATTGCTCAAGAATTGCATGCAAATATTACTAGCAATCCATCTACTTGTACCCATTTTCGTGCTACATCCATACATATTATGTACAAATCTTCATAGACACATCTATGCCGCAAATTTTGAAATATTCTATTCTTATTCCACACGTACAAACACACCTGCCACCAATACAATGGTGCGGCCGATCAATGTTTTACTACTCAAAACTAACTAAAAGCCGATAACAAACCTACAAAACCAGCAATAAAATCATCGACTTTACCTCGTACATCTTCCCAGGGTAAGTATACTTGCACAATTTTTTGGCTACTTCTTCACTCACTCTAAAAGCTGATCAGTAATCACACAAACAAGAGTAAAAATATCCTTAGATATTCACAAACACATACTCATAAGTGGTATATGAAAGCTTAATGTTTAAAACACTGCAACAATAACGGGCTTGGCATACACGCAGGAACTAACACACCCACAAATCTTTAGTTACCTACACACATACACATAGAGAAAATTGTATTTGTGTGTTGATCTTTTGTCTCTATTTACCTTGCTCCAGCAGAGAGAGACCGCCTTAAACCGCCGCCGCCCCCCAAGCCATTGGTTTTGGCTCAGACACACCAAACCTATCGCGCTGATATAGCGCTTGCTCCAGAGGTATACAATCATTTGCGTGGATTACAGAAAAAGGCCAAGGATCTTCGCATGGAGGTGCGCACACTACGCCGCCTCTCTCAAGCACAAGCGGTCGCAGTGCGCGAAGACATCAAAGGAACTTTTATGCGCATACGTGCCACACTGCTGGCCAGCAGCGGTACATTTTGGGGCAGCCATCAGGGTGATCAAGATGCCACGCGAATCTCGCGCGAAGAGGAACTCTATAAACAAGAAGTTATCAGACTGGAAAAAGACCTGAGCGACTTGGAGGCTTCTGTGGAGACACTACGTGGCGAAGTTATTAATCGACGTACACGTGTCAATATGACCGCCGTGGAGGACATGGCATTGGTACTCAGCAGAGCCAGGTAACCAAACAAAAGCAGAATACAATTATAAAATTATAAGCACGCGTTACAAGCATGTAATCTTATAGCAAAACCGTTGCGGAATTAAAAATGAAATTTCCTGGACTTTCCAATGGACTACGTTGCATGCTATCGAGCGAAATGGAACGTGTCGTACGGGAAGAGAAATTTCTAAAAGAAGAACCTGACAGGCTTGAGTCGGCATTAAGACGATGTAAAAAACTAACGGGTACATTAGTAACATTGAAAAGGTATGTTATTTGTTGACAACGAAGTTATCTCCAATTAACAACTCCTCTTTACAGGCTGGCCAGCGTACAAGAGCAACGATTGCCCCCCAACGAACCGCAAATCAACGAAGAGCCGCCTCGTTCGGCTGAGATCTCCAATGCAGACAAAGTAAGTTCTCTTATAAACCCTTAATTGAATTATCAAATTTAATTATTCCTTATAATAGCCACGAGAACTTAAAAATTATCGGATATTTCCTGATATTAATGTAGGCTCGTAACAAGCAAAGAAAAATGCAAAAGGCATCAAAAGGACATAGCCCAGTAATTTCTCTAGGAAATGTGAACAATTCTTCTGATTTCAGGGATCTGTCGGGAAATATTCGATCAATTCCGTGTTCGAACGATTATTTTTTTCATTCGAATTTTAAACATTTTGAATTGCACTGAGCGACAAACTATGTATTAACGCATACAGTAATGAAAATATTCAAATTAATTCAGTAAAAACCAGGCCGTTTGTCGAATAGTGCAATCCTATTGGCTAAAATTTGATCTAAAAAATAAAAAAATAAATAGCATTGTCCAACAAGAAAAATATAATTTCACTGAAATATCAGAGTATTCATAAAATTGCCTACTACCATTTGACTATTGTATTCATTATAACCGATTACAAATTCGCATTAGAATTTGATTATTTCCACTTTTGATTTTTCTTTTACTTTCATTCGGTTAAATTTACCATATTCGTATACTTTACTTCGCTGAATCATCTTGCAAATATTGCAAACCAATTTTAATTTATTTTGGTATATGAAACCGTTGAGTAAATAGTAGTTGAAACGTTTCCCGAAATACTACAAAATGCTATAATAACTAGTTTTGTGTGTAAATAAATTACATTTAATTATGTTTTAGTTGAGTACGAAATCATATTATGAATGGCATAAATAAATCGATTTAAGTTAATTTAAATTTATTTTGCAATTGGCTGTTTGCTTACATACTTAGTTGAAGTATTTGTATTTTGAGTTACAAATTAATTTGAATATTTGATCTTCAAAAACGCTGAAATGGCCAGTCCCAACCCTCATTCTGCTGCTAAACTCCCCTCGTTGGAAAATACTTACAAAGGAATTATTACAAAAACATTGTCAAAATTACATATGTCAAAAAATTAGCTTAATCATATATTTTACCACTGAATGTAAGCACCATAAATTAACGATATATAACTTTTGGCTTTAAAATCTGCTAAGGAAATACTATCACTAATCTAATCCGGCAACACAGAAATCAATGACATTTACATACGTACATACTTATGTACCATATGTAAATTTTTAATTAATCATAAACTCGCCTTTTAGTACTCAGGATAAGTTTTAAAATCCATACACTGATGTAGCTATATTCGCAATTTTAGCGCAATCAAATGGAAACTGTACATGTTACCTTCAATCTGAGTAAAAACCATTTTAGATTAATATTGAATTCAATGAAAGCCTCACAGCCTTGCCGGAAAGGCCTTCACATGCGCTTGTTATGTATAAATCAATGTTAATTTTCGGATTAAATTGTAAATCGATTGCAAAATACCGTTCCATCAGTGATGTTTGCTAAGCTTACATACTTCTTTAGTTGTTGTTGGTTTAAGAAACGCTTCACCGATTCACTTCACGCCTAACAAACACTTACATGCAAGCATTGCATTACAAAACATCCTACTTGTGGACTTTTTATACGTGTTCTTTTTTATATTATTTTTGCATTAAACATTGTTCAATGAAAATCGCTAATCGAATTCGATATTACAATAAAATTGCTGCCAGCGTCCCAATCGAATAGTTTCGAATCGGTGTGAGGTGGCTGAATATTGTGATGAGTGGACGTCGGCGGACTGCAACCGAGATAAAAAGTAAATCTTTAACATTGAAAATTAGCTATAACATAAAAATTACATTAACAATTGGCGAAAATTATTTAACAAAAAGCCATTGCGCATAGTTATGTACATCAGCAGCAGCAAAGCATTTCTGTCATTGTAAATATATACATACCTACATACATACATATGTGCTTATGTGATTACTACGTTGTTTTAGATTTGCGCATTTTGTGCAATATCATTTATGTACGTAAACGATTATACATAAGTGCATAAATAGATATGTATGGTACCGTCTTTGCTGCGACGCGTTGAACATCAATTGGACTGCATCCACAAACGAAAAAATTATTACGAAATATTTTATTTAATTGATAATTGATAAAAGTAGAAGACTTCACGTTTTATGTCTTGTATCTGTCAAACATAAAAACAGTTCGTTTATCGTCGTTACATAATTAATTATTTACAATCAACAATACCAATGTGGTCTTGTTTTCTTCTTGTTCTTCTTTGTATACCATAGTTTAACTGGCGATGGAGTTCTAACTTCAAAGAGGCAATCACTGAGTAATAATCGCATTTTTCTAATCATAACAATTACAATTTCTTGTATGACTATTTTTCTATCACTAGTGATCCTTTTACGCTTGATCAAACCTAAACTTCAGAGACATATTCTAAATTAAAAAATCTAAACAAAATCAAAAGTTAATAATCAACTATCAAAATCCCAAGATTTTAAATTCTATAAAAAAAAAATTAATGAAATACAATTGAAATTAAATAGAAAACTGATATACTGTGTTAAATACTAATAATACATAATAGGTTGATGTTACAATAATGTAAAATAATGTTTCTTTAAATAAAAAAAGCTTGTTAATCATTCATATTTAATTTTCACTTATACTTTTCAAGTACAATACTTCTTTCATTTCTTTTTCGATTTAACGATTGTGTGCAAAATCTTAAATTATACTTTTAACTGTATGTTTAGCTTCACAATAACTCTTTTTATTACTGTTTTGCGTATTTATTATAAATACAAATGATTTTACTTTTCACATTCCATATATGTTCTTCCCTCTTTTCTGTCGCATAAATATTTAACACATTTGTTGCCTCTTTTTCACATTGATGTCAAAATCGAATATTTGTGTTAATTATATAAAACTTTCATTGCATTAATTTTTATTTTAATTACACATTAATGAAACATCATCATATGTAATCATCACATACTGTAGTGCAATCTAAATTGATATTATTCATGATTCGCCACATAAAAACCTCTGTCTCATTGCATCCAACCACTTCTACCGGAATATATGTACCATATATTTGCTAAATACCGTAAATTCGCAAAGCTTTATGTGCTGAGTAATACTCATATGGCATAATCAAAGCCATTCATACTACGAGTATGTGTGTGCATATTTACTAAAAGAAATGTACTCATCTAAAAGAATTTGACCTTGCCCTTGTCATAACATAGGCATACATACTATAAGTATGTTTAAACAATTTGAAACTGGAAAATTTAAGTAAAAGCCGAGTATAGTTGGAATTGGTAAAATCTTCACTAAATATGCGATAAATTATAACCGATCTTTACTGATCTTTAGGAATTATTTCTGTAACAAAATGTAATACGAATACAACTGATGAATGATGATGTAGTATGAATATCTCCTTAAATGATATGTGCATCGCATAAAGCAGGTTTTATTGATAACTTAATGTTATTTTAAATATGTCCCATCAGAGAACAAGTAATTGTCTAATAACCGTCTAAATAAAAAAAAAACGTTTAATGCATTCCGATAGATAAGTAAACTTGCATCGTCAAAAACTCGTACATAGCCGTGAACAAGGCATACTGAGTTTTGAAATTATATTCACATTTATCGAAAGAAGCTACTGCGATTAAAACATAAGCATATATAATATATTATATCTACACATATATGGCCGCGTTCATTAATTTCTTTGCCAATCAAAAATAGAACTTAAATTTACTGAAATCATCCATTCATTCAGATACTTCACACCAGTCTGCATAGCGCGAAGCATTTCAGGAAATTGAAGCAAAAAATACAAATATTTTCGGCCATGGATCTCACTTTTAACATACATACAAGTATGTGTAAAATGTGTGTATTGGTTAACTGCCAATCGGTGAAGTATTCTTAGGACGACAGTACATGCAACGTAAACAAATACAATTTATAACTCACTTGCGTTGTCAAACTTTATACGCAATAACACCTAACATTCATTATTGCTTGTTGGGCATCAGTCGAATCGCGCTCGTATTTAAACCCCCTCCCGTTCACTTATTCCGATGTTCTGTTTTTCAATTACGCAAAAAACAGTGAAGTCCATTACCGAATTGGTAGTGTGAGGTTAATTTTGTTTTTCTTTCGATTATATTTACTTTTTATGATTTTTGATCTTTTTTACATTTTTAATCGGCTTGCCTGTTGAAATTACATTTGAAACGCTTCACATGCATATCGTAGTATTTATTTGTTGTTTTTAGATAAAATGTCTATCGATATTAGACGCCTTTTTAATTGTGTAAAAATAAATGTAAATACTTTTGTTTTATTAAGCAATTTACTAAATACGTTTATACGAACATCTATTCAATATATATTTTTCATGCTAAACTGTTGCCCTTAATTGGCATTTCATTTTACGAATATATGTACATAGAGAGTATGATTTATGATATTTATGGAGACGTTGCATTTATATTAGAAAAATGAGTAAGCTTATGCATGTATGTGTGTACGTATGCATTAACTCTCTCAATAAATACCTTATTAAATATTTATATTTGTATCAACATGCATATTTTTACTTTGGAAGCAATTTTCTTATTTAGTAAATGTACACACTAATTTACATACTATCTCCACTATCTATACTCCTACAATCACTATAAATACAGATGTTCAGTACTTTGAATGTTTGTTAACTGTACTTTATGATATGATCATCATCTTTTGTTAATTTATATTTCATATTTTTATACGTTGCTGTTATTATTATTGTAAATTTATTACTTTAGCCAATCCCAACACCCAGGATGGGGTCGTTCGCTATCAGCGGGGGACCCGAAAACGCACTCGATGCTCTGCTAGACGAATTGCAGACCTTTTCGAAACCACTCTCACAGAATAACGAGGTTGGTTCACAACTACACTGCTTGTAATATTGACTTGAAGAAAATTATTATATATTCAATAGGTACGCCCCGATGATTCAACATCTGATGAAAGTTCGCAAGCACTGCAAAGCACAGTCACCACACAAATATCCCAAGCACGTCTCTATATCCAAACTACCGACACAAACATCATTCCAATACAATCGCAACCCATTTCCACCGCAGCCACCAGCATTGTTAATACTTTGCCACATAAGCAAAGCAATCACATCGCCAACGAATCCATTGGTAATGCAACTAATGTAACCTCTCTTATGGTGCATACCAATGTTGGCAGTCTTCGGCGTCTCCATTCATATCCCAGTGGGTCAGATACAGACATATCACCGCCACAGAACGTACGTGCGGTGACTAACAAGCCACCAGTCCCTGAACGCACCGCAGATCTGATAACGAAAGTGACCAACAAACGTATACCTCCACCACCCCCACCGCGAACTAGCTCGCGTAGTCCACTCGCCAGCCCCACAAACCCAAATGTACCACACCAGTTACCAACGGTTAGCGAAACCGACGTCTTGGGTAACAAGTCAGATAGCGGCGGAGGAAGTGGCAATTCCAGCGGTAACGAGTCAGCGAACGACCACGTCCAGAGGCAAGTGGCTTTGGAAATGCGTCATCAGGAATTGCTCAAAAAGCAGAAGCTCTTACAGGAACAATACCAACGCTTGCAGCAAATGACGAAGATTACCGGCGTAGAAATGACCGCCATAGATAGCACAGTCCAACTACAGAAAACTAGCAGCGACTCTAATTTACAACAAAAAATCAACGTTCACCAGTCACCAATAGCCAATGTGGGAGAGAAGTCACAAGATAATGGCATGCCAGGAACAGAGAAGTGTGATAATACAAAACAAGTCACCAATGTCATTGCATCAAATCCAGAAACACTGGGAAATTCGGGTGGTGGCGGCAACGATAGGAGCAGCAAAAGTGTTGGCAGCGCTGGCGGCTCTACTACAAAGCAGCTATATGAGACCGAAATACTCTAACATAAACCAGTAATAATGGTGGAATGGCAGGAAACTGAAATTGATATTTGAGTAAAGGATAAAAAGCACAAACACACATGACGCACTGGAGCACAGGTTTTACTTGGAACACGCTTACCGCTGACAACTGGCAACTGGCAAACGTTATTGTAATAAACGCACAGAAAACCTACACCGCACTATATTGCAAGAAAACAACGATTAACATTAACGGATGAAAATTTAAAAGAGTGTTAAAAATGTATATGTTTGAAAGAACAAAAGACACTAGTATCTGTATAAATATGTGATTATTGTGCTGGTTGGCAAATAACTGGCTGGTAATGATTAAGATTTAAAAATATTCTGAAGATATTATTCTAAAACCTATTGTAATATAGTCGTGACTACATTTGCATTTAGTATAGGAAAACCTAGTCAAGCTATTTATAGCTGTCCCTTGCTCAATCCATCGAGAGAGCACAAATTTCTCAGATTTAGAGTGCCCGTCTTTTGCATCTGACCATAGCGCAAACATAATTTAGGGGAACTTATGTTCCAAGCTTATTTCAAAAAGCTCATAAGAAATGAATGCAATATTGCAAGCTACAAAGCTACGGCAAATTAACTTGTTCGAGTTTAGATTAAAAAGGAAAAACTTTGGTGACTAACAAAAAGCAACCTACTTCAAAAATATCGCTCTCACTAAAGCAACACGCAAACTCGTTAACAATAAGCAGACAACAGGCACTTAAAATAAAACTTAATCACATTGTAATGTTACATTCCCTGCAACGATACTCGATAAACGTTTACGGCTCACCGGTATCTTTGCAATAGTAAGCTCAAGCGATATTCCCTGCATATACATACATATTAGCAGGAAATTTTCACTCTGTGTTGAATGCTCCCAGAGTGGTACACAGTGTTTTTGTTTATTTTATTAATGTATTCCTTCGGTACAGGGCTATCGCAATCGCCACACTTTCTCACACATCACACACTTTTACAAATATAGATATGTATGTGCACAAGTGCATATTCAAATTGTCTGGTCTTAGTTTTAGGATTTAAGCTGTTGTACTTGTAGTCTAGGATACAGTACTGCGTAAGGCTTTAGATTTAGAAATAGTTGCTACACTTACGTAATTTATTTTGGTACAATAAGTACTCATTAATTTAATATGAAAATGAAATGGTATTTAGACTTGCATATGATGTAGAATATATTGCTGCAATATATGTATGTAAAGTTGGTGACCATAGCTCGAAATGAATCGAATCAAAATGGGAACGAAAAGACACTATGTCGGCTTAAATGAAATTTAGAAGGCATTTGTTTTGCCTAGTTGTTATTTAGTTAATATTTTAAAATTGCTAGTTATAAATGGTTGAATATATAAATTAAATTATTTGCACTTACAAGGGTATATCCACATATACATTGCGAAGAGTGGAATGGTCCTACAAGTCCTCGATAACAATATTTAAACAAGTATATATAGCAATGAAATCATAGTAAATCTGCAATTTGCAATGCAAGTTGATCTAATTAACCGTCAAATGTATGTATGACTATGAGATGTTATTTGTTGTAATGCACATGAAATTCGCAATTTTATTATTATATAAGTAAAATGTTAGATTTTTAGTACGTATACATGCAAAAATTCATATCCATGTATTTGTAAAGTATTTGTTTTTGTTAAATGTTCACAAATACTCTACGTACTAAATATTTATGCGTTAATGCTTTAGTCCTTTTGTTAACCAATAGTCATAATTCACCTTATCCAATTATTATATGTATGAATGTATATTCACAGAATAATATGTACTTGTGTGTGACTAACATGCAAATGAATTATATTAAATTAGTAATTGTACTAGCATAAAATGGCAAAGATCAAGCAAGAAGTAGAAAATAGATGAAATAAAATTAAACTGCCTGTACAGGAGCTCAATACTAAGTAAAGACATAGGTACTTATATAAGATCTCTGTGAGAGTTGGTGTGTGGCAAAAATGTGCAGGCAGTAACCTAATAAGTTAACCATATACACATAACAAAGTAATCCCTAGCATATTGATGAAAAAGTCATGCCAATTACGCATTTTACTTGACAAAAGTTTTGTTAAATTGGCAAGGAAAGTGAGACTGATAGTTTTATGTACATTACACGCATTCAAAAAACCAAGCAAACAAACGAACTATAGTATTTCGAATATTTATGAATACCAAATACAACATTATACGAAATTAAAATATTATATTATCATTTAGTTAAACATCAAGTGGGGCAGCAATAATTTGATTGAAAATACTACGTATTAAAAGGCAAAACATTCGAAACACTTAACTATTTTCAAAAATATTTCTAATCACGTCATTCTTTCATATGCGTGGCTATACATACATACATAGACATTTTCAAACAAACTATTGCTCCCGCCAATCACGTAAGCGTCGAATCAAAGCATAACTTAGAAAATATGAGTAAATTAAAAACTAATCAAAGAAATAAAATAATTGAATATTAACCCTATTACACACGCCATTCCATTCAGCAGTCTCTATGTCATTACAACTTCAGAATAAAATAAAAAGACAAACAAGATGCATACTCACATACGTATGTATAGTTAATAAGAAATATTATTGTTTTGACATACTAAATACTCGACTGGTCTCTACAAGTTTGAACATCAAGCCAAGATAGTTTATGAAGAAGTAATTTTTAAAATACATGTGAAAAACAGAACTACAACAATATTTTACATTATCAATGTTTCATAATTAGGGCCAAGAGTATTCACGTGGATATTTAGTAAGAACCAAGTTATCCCAAAAGTACTTATGTATGTGCGTATGTATGTACATACTTGACTGCATATAGAGATACATATAAACACATATTTGTTTAGCTAAGAGCACTAAACATACATACATATGTGAAATTAACTAAATACTGCAAGTACTTAAAAATTTTCTTCATAATAAATTTCGTGAATAAAATCGTAAAAAGAGTGTGAACATTTTTTTGGTTTCGGGCATAGAATATGTGCAGTATATGTAGAATTGAATGTTTTAATAAAATGTACATATGTATTTTTCCAACAGCTGGCTCTTACACATTCCCCCTCCTTGAGCCTTATGAAACGTGACAATTTTCCGCAATGCTCGTTTAGGCGGTCAGCCACCGCATAACTCAGATTATTGTTTAAGTCAAAAGATAAATTAGGGCATCTTTAAGACCTCTATTCGGCGCGTATTGGCGCGTTCTCAAGCCTCTTTCCAATAAATTTCATAACAATTGTCCAATTTTTCACAAAACCAAAACTGGCAACACACGCAACAACAATATTGGGAAAAACCACACTGAAAAAATGTCGAATGATTAAAGGTGATGTAATGTGCGAAGGAATTCTGCAATGTTTACACAAAGAAATGCAAAGAGCCGTAAAGAAAGGAAAGGTGCCAGCAAGAAGGAAAGGACATATCGAATGTTAGCACGGTTATTGCAATTCAAGGCAAATAGAAATGGTTACAAATGAAAGTGAGAAAGGAAAGCCCAATTGAATGCGCGGGCAAACAGTCCCATGTCAGTGAAATAAAATTTAATGAATTGTGAGCGCCGATTGAGCAGATGTTCGGTTAATCTTAAACAATTGTATGGTGGATTTTATCGAATCTTATACACATATAGCAATGTACTATATACATATATGTACATACATATTTGTACTTACATAAATATGTAGCGTACATGCATGGCTATGTGAGGAACAAATGATTCGCCACTAAATTCTTGTACCGCAGATAATTATTTACTTTCATATAAAAAAGCGCCTATCGTAATCACGCACAGACATATGTATGTTTATATGTACATATGTACCTGGTTTCAACCGAGAGCCTAATTCCTCGTAGATGGCAAATGAAATTTAACAATTTTTAGGTTTTTAAGCATTTTTCCTTAATAAATATTGGTAAAAAAATGTACCAAATAAAATAAATAAATTTTGCAAATACCGAGATGATTGTGTATAGCGGCTAGCATGTCATCTGCGAAAGCTTGAGCAGTGTTGAGTTTCAGGTAATTTTAAGTGAAAATAAAAATATGGACCTATATAGTATGTATGTATGTATATACATGGTATTTCCTAATCCAAATTTTGCTCCACTCATTCCCAACAATTATTTGTTTTCAACTCTACAATTATCACCCTTATTATAACACACAAAGTCTTCATATTTTTCGCGGAGACTTTACTCTCTTCAAAAATGAGTAGAGTTTGAAAAGGTGGTGTTGCCATGATCCAAAGGAAGTGAAGTTTCTAAAACGTAGCAGTGCTGCTATGCGCATTGCACTCCAGTTTACATTCGAGTTTTGTACACAGTGCTGAACGGACGTGTTTGCCGAGGTCATATCAACAAACAAAGACAGTGCCTTTACGTGAATAAAATCATACATGCCTAAACCTCAACTTAAATAAAAGCATCATATAAAACAACGATTTTTATTCAAGTATTTAAAAAGGTAAAAAATTGTGAAAAGTGTATATGCTTGTGCGAGTTCTATTATTTGCAAAAATTCGTGCATAACATCGAAAGCAGTACCCCGCATTCAAATTTTTTTTATCAAACTCTTATGTACTCGTATGTGCATATGTACTCGCATGTGATATAATTCATTACGAATTGTTTAAATACTTCTGAAGTGCACTTAAAATGTGTGGTATTCGCTAAAAAGCTTTGGATATAATCGATCAATGCGAAACTAATTGAAGCGGCTAGACTGTAAATGAGCATGCGCAGCCACGCGGACTAAACAACCACTTACAGACGCAATGCTATACAGCCAGCATCGCCACTCGAACACTACTTGAAGCCACTCTACATTTAAATGAAATAAAACGTACGGAAATAGTGCGCGCGCGTTTTAAAGGTCGAAAATCTGAGAAAGAGTTTCAAACAATATGGAAGAGCACAAAAGAAAGAAAAAAATTGCAAAAGCAGTCACTTTTTTTAATTCCTGTTTTCCAATTGAGACGAAATTCTTCCAATGGCAGCAACACATTCTCATACGCCGCGAATACCAGCGCATGCGCTAGAAGACAACAATTGGAGTTGACAAACCGCTTTACTTGCAAAAAAACTGCAAAGTTAATCATTTGTAAACCTGATTTCCATTGCTTTTTCTTTAAGCGCTTTGCGCGAATATAATAATGCAAATTGCTTTCATTGCACAGTTGGAATTCCGGCTGCAGAGTCGACTGCTGGACCCTTCAATAAGCATGCAGTCAACAGTGAAGTTAGAATAAATTATTTGGAAAAAACGTTTTGCGTACAGTAAATTAAACTGAAGTGAATGCACACGAGTACCATTTCCTCTTTTGACTCAGCAATATACCCATTTTTCGAAAATAATAATTTACACTCTTAACTAATTAGTTGTTCCTCTTTTTTTTACAGATATTCAGCTAAATTATTATAGACAATGCTTAAGTGGGCAGTTAACACACCGCGACTCTCCTATCTTACAGTGGACGACTCAAAAACAAATACCGAAGACTTGCAGCTCAAACCTTTAAGCGCCTTATCCCCAGGAAAACTGAACACTCCAAATGAAATAATTTCCTCGCAAACACAAACGCTCTCCGTCAAGCGGAAGAGGCTGAAACGGAAATCTTCTGATATTTACCTTTCACGTCGTTTGCAAAACTGGTTGGATAAGGAAAATCAAGTAACATCTACTCCACTTCACTCAAGCTCAAAGATATATAACAAAAACGGTACTTTACGTCGACTTAACAGTTTGAAAGACTTGTCTAACATCATACCGTGTGAGAACGCTGTCTCCAACAACCCGCTAAACCCAATTTTATCACAGTTGAACGCACCAAGTCAGAGTTTAGATAATGATACATTAACAAAGAACAATCCTGTCAACTATGCGACTACACTGCCTACTCTCGAAGTAGAATACTCGCCCTGCGGTCCAATTCCCGGACCGATTCTGGCATTGCGCGGCCTGGGTATTGCTGATACTTACTTTGACAAACCGCGATATCTGCCACATAATAAAAGCGATGAAACTATAATACAAACAAAACCATCCAGTAAAATAACTAATTACACGTTTCACAGTCAAAAGCATACACGACGATCTTTGAATAGCATACGCGATGATACCGCATCATTGAGCTCTTCCAAAATGGGTGATCAAACGCTAGAACGTATGATAGATGCGATACTGGAGAGCACAAGAAAGGAAAAGAAGCCTATGAAGTTTGCAAGGCAATCAAATAACCAGCCGTGCGTGGTAATGTCACCCACATATACACCTGCAGAAGACCCCGCCAACGATCTAAGTGAATTTTGGATTGATACACAAAATGAAGAACCGCTATTACAGACTGTGCGCAAAAAGCGACGTTCTCTACCAGCTACTGTTACCTCAATATACAGCGAGCGAGAAGTACGGTCTCCACATCGTACAAGCAACCGTAAACGTAATATATTCCACTTGCGCCGACAACGAGCAGTGCGTAGAAAACGTAAAACGTCTAAGCACAACGTAACACATTATACACATAAAATAGATGAGCCAACAATAACAAACAAAGAACTAACAGAATCGGGCGAGCTAAATTCCAAACGGATTGATAATTCAAGCCCTGATAGTGGTCACAATTCCTTCAGCGAATTGGATGAGAACTCCATCATGTTAGAGAGTAATTGCTTAGCGATCGTCAGCACGCTGGAGAACTCTGACCTGCGTGCTTTAGATTCTACAAAACGGCGCCTCAGCTTTTCAAATCAAACTTCAATCGTATAGTATACATACGTACGTATACGTTCTAATGATTCCCGTTATAATTTGTTGCATATTCTGTTAATAACTTAATATAACGTTTTTTACAATTTATAGTCGAATAAAATCGTAATCTTTTGTAGCTAATATTGTTTTAATTTTTCCACGGCAACTACCGGTAGAGGACATATCCTATACTTGTAGTATATTGGCCATTTCTTTCCCGTTTAACAATAATTCAATTTCGTAAACACAACAATCTACGCGTACTTACTGCCACTTATAAGTACTTTACGCGGGGTTGTTCCGTGAAACGGGCATAACGTTGCAGTAGTATTCTGCGGGTAAAGGGCTCGCAAGTGGTCACAAACCATGACTAAATTATGCGTAAATTTAAAGAAAGGACAGCATTTGAAATTGGACTCCGGGTGGTGTCATATGAAAATTACCAGCAAATACGCCGACGCCGGTGACTAAACCATACGTAAATTTCTATGCGCCTGGGAACATATGTATTTCGCAAGGCTAGCATCATCAATAAACAGCTGCCACTATGGCATACAAACAACGCTATTTCCGTTTCAAGTGCTCTCACATACGCTTGCTTTTTAGTAAGAAGGAAAGTACCTGCTGCGTCATATATAACTACTGCATATGCATAAATACCTATTCTACTAGAAGTGCATATGTTTACTACTCATACACTAAAATAATACAGATATAAATATTCCGTTAAAATTGTAATAGGATCAGTCCGATACGCCAAATCTATTGCTGCTTATGTAAAAAATACTTTTCTGTACAAGTTTGTCACCTAATCAATTCTTTAATATATTGTATTATACACACACACATGTGTACAATCAGCAAAATTTTTTACTCTGAATCATTTACTCACATACATACTTTTCGCAGACTATAATCTATAAGTTGTTGAGCGGCTTATTGTCATTTTAATAGCTTTTGCTTGCTGCAGCTGCTCTGCTTTAAACAGGAATGTGTGACTGAGATTGTGCCAAAGTCTATACCCTTACAATAGATACACATACAAACACAATAATTACATGAATGAATGTCAGAGCGTCTTAAGTGAATAATGCAAACGCGACCTGAAATCCACACATACCTTAAATGATTCGTATACAAATCTACCTACATACCTTAAGTGTATCCAGGCAATGAAAGCAGCACACGCGTGCAGACTTCTTGTTACTCGTATATCTTCGAGACCAGTGTGTGTTATTCACATACATATCCATGCATAATTTAGCGCCAAAAATTGGCAGGCTGGTAATTTGGCGACATATGCCAACGACGAAAACAACGAAGTACGCGTTTGCGCAACGGACATCTGTCACCAGTAGCGGCACGAGTCAAGAGCCAACACAACAATAAGACCTATGGTATATTTAGCAGCCGAGGCGGGCGTTTGCGTTGGCGCTGCCCGCACAAATTGCAGTGCCACTGAAGCACTCTTTACCTTTCTGCAATAACTTTTGTTGAACATATGTAAGTGAATTGCTTGAAATGCGTTTAATGAGTTGTGTCGTCGTCATGTGTAGGTATTTATATACTCATATGCGAACCAGCGGCATCGTTTCAAGTGTTCCCCGCTATTATTCATTGAAACGTTATTTTCCTCCACTCTAGTCTATCCTTCGAGTGGAGCTATGCAGTTGCCGCTACTTCAAATTTTCCGCCCGCAATCGCTCTTCCGTAGTTTGCATATATGTACATACATAAGAATATATTATATAGGATATATAATATCATACATGTACATATATACATACATATGTTATGTAGCATTGAAAGCAAATTAATTGACATGTCGAAGTATTGATTTAACAGTTTGCCTGCTGCTGATAAGTTTTAATAACTCATTTACTGAATTATGACAGAAGGATTGTCAATGTATTTGCTCGCAATCGATCAGAAATCAGAGCACATTTTACGCGTGCGACGTCTACAGCAGCGTTGACATTTTTTTCTTGGCACAACAATTGATCGATGGCTTCCAATCTTTTGCTCGCATGTGTAAATCACACATTCTTTTATGAAAGTAAAATGATCTGAAAAGCACTCAACGTGAAGTAATGATTATTTTCCAGCGGCATTGTCATTTTTCACAAATACTTTAGACACACACATATGCAGAATAACGTATAACCGTAGGTAAAGAAGGAGAATTTGATTAATCACTTTGATATTGTTGCAGAATGTAGCATATCCGGCGAAAGAAAGATGTATACATATTTATATATGTCGGAAAACTGACGACTTCTACTTAGTATTTTGAACGCTTTATACTTTTGCTCCCCAGTAACAATTTATATTTTGCTTCCATTTCTACAAGTACTTTGTTTAAATAGCACAATGCTGCTTTGCAGTCTCCTTCTATTCGTCTTTGTTGCTCTTTTGATTTGTTACTCTTGAGCGACTGCTGCTCCTTGAATAGTTGTAATTGTGTTAAGCACAATAACCCAAAATGCGTATTTTAACGATTCGAAAAGGTATCTGGAGCAAATTTTGAATAAAGGTATACATTGTTCTCCAAATTTTGATGATGATTAGTTTTTCTAATCTAAAGACAGCAACGAGCAGCAGTGTCAATAAAAGCGCGCCAATATTAGCGCAACTGCAAATGTGGTGATCACTCAATTGCACAATGTTACATGCGCCACAAAAATCTTCTTTAAGGATACGCACACGTTTTAGGAATTCCGAACATCCTTACTGAATTTCTTCCTATTCGCTATTTGTCGCAACTATATATTTAAATCCTGTCATTTTTGTTAATTTATTATGCAAACTATTATGTTTATGCCAAATCCTATCGCATCACGAGTCGTGCCTAGCGCTCATTTCTAGTTCCCAACCAACTAGCTATCCATAATCTTCATAATTCTTGATGTCCTGTGTTCCTATTAATTTTCCTCTCCTAGTGTGTTTTGTATCGTTTTTAATTTAATCAATTTCAGTGTTACAAAAGGTGTCAATCTTACTCAGTGTAGCCCAGCGGACGGACATTCGCCCATGTCCGGATGCCCGCGTCTCCTTTGCCGTATCAAAATATGTCTTAAAAGAGGGTTAAATGTAAATTATGTACATATATATGTAAACATAAAAAAAGGAGAAAACAGCCCAACGGTGGCAGATGCCTCAGCCCTTCAACACAATTTACGTATGACTAGAAGATTATAAGATTCCCACATGGGACGAGCAAAGTTCTTACGTCTTGCAAGAGCTGCACCTCATATAAAACCGACAACTATAAAAAACTCGCTCGTTCATGCGACAACTAATGAGTTAGGTAATATTGTTGCTGCAATTAAATTTAAATGAAAAGGTACACTTTTTGTATTTTTATGTGAGCTGCGAAGGCACAACAAACTTAAACATGTATAATTCTCAAACGGGATCAATCACAACGCCTAAGTAAAAAGGTGTTTTCCAACAGCCAGTCAACAGCAAAAGTGGTGCTATTTACATGCATACATATGTATATGCATGTGACAGATTTTCACATGCATATCTGCTTAATTAGCGGCATAAAAGCCCGCTCAACAAACAGCCGTCGTTCGCAATCGTCTAATCAAAAATGAAGCAGCCAGAAGAATAATTTCAGGACAATTGGCTGCAGCTTTGATTCTCAGTTCTGTTTTGGTCTTAACCAATGCCTAAAATTGAGAGTAATCCAAGTTTCACACTACGCAAAGGATCAATAAATGAAAAGGGTAGTTAAAGAGGTGGGCAGTGCATTTTGCGGCAAGCAACTGTAAAATTAATGACTTTTCTAACTGTTCACTGCCACCGGACATGCCTGCAATACCTATACTCCGCCGGCAATTACGGGTACATTATACCAAACAAAAATTATTTACGTAATATTAGAAGCGCTTTAGTGGGCAACACCGCGATCAATACATTCTTAACTGTTTTGAAAGATATAGTCGGTGTCGGCAATAAATACAAACTAAAAAGCACCCCTCAAGCTTATCATAATAGATTTCTCAGATTGCGGTTAATGACCACGGGACACACTGCGACCGGGCCGACCGACTTCTTACTTGTCCTCTAAATGTTTTGATTTACGCGCCTTTCTTATGCGCGTTTATTTAATTGACCAATGACTACAATATCCGCATGAAAACAATGCTTGCATGTCTCGCTTCCTGTCACTTTCTTTACAACTATTCATGCTTGACTGGGCGAAAATATATTTGTAAATGCATACATATGTACATGTTATTACATGTAGATGACCCTTGTCAACTATAAACAAAACAGCGTGAACAGGAAACAAGTAAAGTCGTCAAGACAGTCAAGGTGACGTGGGCGCTTTCCCGTAACCAGAAATTGAAAACTTGCATGAGAAAATGAATCAGTTACTTGTTTACAACTTAGAAATTATGCATAATGGACAACAAAAGTTTATGGTCAGTTGAGCAAATGAAGTAAAATTATGGGAACCAGAATCGGCTAAGAAGGGTAACATTTATATCAAATCGGAATCAATAGCTTATTGTTTTATAAATACTTGTGGATATGTAAGTGAAAAGGATTTTCTCGCTGGAGGAGGTTTTTCCTCTCTAGGAAGGTTATTCTTTTGGACGACAAGTGAGAGCGAAGAATAATTTTAATAATGCGATAGTTGATGCAAATATATCTAAATACAATATAATGCTTACGGGAACAGCAATGTAAATATAAACTATTTGAAAATTGCATGATAACGGAATTGATTTTCAATGAAGAAATAAATCGTTGCTGAGACAATATCAAAATATACTCTATGTAATAATAATAAAACTTTTCACACATAACGGTGTCTGTAATGCCAATTCACAGTTTTAACTGTCACTTTAATCAAACACATACATAAAAGAATTCTAAAAAAATATAGAGTTCATTTGCTTTCAACACTTTTTATAGCACAGCATCTCATACTAATTGCCGTTCGTTTTATAGACTTTTGATGAAGTCATTAAGTGAATTAAGCAACGCTCCTACCATTACATATAAACTCATTTATGTATGTACAAAAATTGAAAATATTCGGCACATAGGGGTTAATCAAATAATACTCCATAATCAATAGGGGTTCCTTGTACAAGCAGAAAGGAGATGATTGCGATATACATACATAAGTACATATACATACATACATGCATATGTATGTGCCTGAGCTAAAGCG